ATAGAAAGTTCTTATTATGAAGTATAGTCTTATGTAATCCACATTATATAATGTAACCCAGGAAGCTTTATAGTACGTGTAAAACTATACATGTACTCTTCACCAAGGTTCAAAACTTGCTAAATGTTTATTAGTAAAGTTATAATTGGAGTGATTCTATTCCACTATGAATTTGAGGAAAATACATTTTAATTTTTTTCTTTATAGCTGTTGGACTTCTTGGATCAGCATCCCTTTTCATTTACACCTCTAATTCAGAGATCACTGGAATTTTCTGTAAGCTATGTTTTTACGGAAATTGGCGAAGGCGTTACATTTGAACGATTCATTGTCCAGTGCATGAATCTTATTAAGATGATTGTCAAAAATTACGCTTATAAGCCATCCAAAAATTTTGAAGGTAATACTTTACTGGTAGTTTTTTTTCTTTATTTTAATGTAAGTGTGAAGTAATCGTTACTTTTACATATTTTTTTTGAAATTTATTTAATAAATAAACTGTTGCTAGGACATGAAATAGTGATAAAGATTACAGCCTTTAATATGTTTATACCAGTTTATAAATTATACAGTGCATTTAGTAAGCTGTTTTTGTTGCATAATAAATTGGTTGAGGCTTAGGGACTTTAAGAATTAGTTACTACAATAATTTCTGTAGCTCACGTTTCAGGCTGTATTTATTTGAACAATTAAAAGCTTTCTCTGACTTTATATAAAGTGGAGATTGCTTCTAGACAGGTTAAATTGTTTATTATTTGGAATTCATTCATATGCATGTGTGTCAAGATGAATGAAGTCTTGTAGGGAAGAGAGAAAGGCCTATGAGTTAGTCACCTCAATATGCTGTGGTAGTAGAACATGGTAATGTACAACTGTGTGGTAAGATAGAGACAGAACTGATGTGGGTATGTTATAAGTAAATGAAAGAGATTTGTTTGGGATTTGTTTATAATAAAAATGAAAATTATATGCTAGTATATCTTTTTCTCTGAGAGTTTATTTTTAATTTATTTAAACCATATAAACCAACTTAGGTAGAATGTTTGGCTGTACAATTAACTTGGAAATTTTATTTTTCTAGATAGCAGCCCTGAAACTCTTGAAGCCCATAAGATTAAGATGGCATTCTTCACATATCCCACTTTGACAGAGATATGTAGAAGATTAGTCTCTCATTATTTTCTATTAACTGAAGAAGAACTGACAATGTGGGAAGAAGACCCCGAAGGCTTTAGTAAGAATTAATTTTTTAGTTTTAGCATGGCTTTCTTCCCTTTCTGTCAATAGATATCTATTTGAATGACAGGTATATTAACATTGTATTTTAATATAGCAATTTTGATTTGGGAGTTTTGGTTTTTCAAAATTAACTTATTCTCTACAACTAGCAGCTTGTTCTTACTAAAAAAAAAAAACCACAAAACAACAACAAAAAATTAACTTATTCTTTCTTTGTTAGCCATTAGAACAACATGAGAAGCAGGAAATGAATGACTTGTTTAAATATGATGCAGAATTTTATCC